AATGACTCCAGTAACATAAGACAGTGGCAGCTTGCAATTTGTCCTTTTATAGAATCATTTACCTATAATGTTACCTTAAAGTACGGCTATCGTTGAGGACATCCAGATCCGACGAACTAACGCAAGACAGTGTCAGATTGCAATTTGATTTTTTATACAATCATAGACCTAACACATCGCCTTAATTAAAGTAAAGTATGGCCATGTTTGACGATATCGAGATCCGACGACTAACAGAAGACAGTCAAATTGCAATTTGTCATTTTATAGAATCATTGACCTAATATGTCTCCTGAATTAAAGTAAAGTATGGCCATGCTTGACGATATTGAGATCCGACGACTATGTCTTTTATAGAATCATTGACCTAAAACATCTCCCTATTAAAGTACAGTATGGCCATATTTGACGATATCGAAATCCAACGACTAACGCATGACAGTCAGATTGCAATTTGTCTTTTTATAGAATCATTGACCTAATACATCTTCTTAATTAAAGTACAGTATGGCCATGTTTGACGATATCGAAATCCGACAACTAACACAAGACAGTCAGATTGCAATTTGTCATTTTGAACTAAAACATCTCCCTATTAAAGTAAAGCATGGCTGGCTATGTATAACATAGATTACTGAGCTTTATCAGTTCCATTGTTCAGCCTTAGCAATATGTTTCAGCGTTATTGAAGAGTGATGCCAATGCTAACCGCAACACCAATTCAATTCTTTCAAGCTATCACTGAAGAGATCAATCAACAGCAATTGTACAAAGCCATAATAAGGGGATTGACCTTGCCAAGAAATATCCTATGACACATCGTTTACAATGACAGGACATTTCAGCTATACAGAGCGAAAGATCTCATTGGGATAACGCTGTTAGCATGGTCGAGCAGAAATCTTCTAAGGTAGTCCATAAAAATGAGCGTAAAATAATAGGGGGGGATTGATTTTGCAAAGAAATGCCAGAGAAACGAGTGTCCATTTCAACTTTACAGAACGAATGATTATCATGTAGAAGAGCTCAAGTCTATCTCTGTATTTCCTAACGTATCATTGCGGTGATAACCTGAAACCATGACAACGATCCAAATTTGATAACATTAACGGAACTCGATTGGGTTAAGAGGTCATTGAAATCAGACCAAGTTTGCTGCAATGCTGGTAGTATTGTCGAGCAGAAATCTTCTAACTTTGCCAATCCAAATGCGCTTAAAATAATAGAGAAATTGATTTTTCAAAGAAATGGCGTAGGATCCACGTATGAACTAGCGTATATTTCAACTTTATAGGACTAATGATGGTCGTGTAATGTGGGATCTTAAGCCTATCTCTGTACAGTATTTCCTAACATATGACGGCTGTAATGAAATCAACCATGACAACAATCCAATATGATAACGTCAACGGACCTCCATTTGGTGAAAGTGTCATCGAAATCAGCGAAAACTTGTTACAATACTGTTCGCATTGCCAAACATAAATTCTCTAATTTAGCAATGAAAAAAGCGCTTTAAATAATAACGGGATTGACTTTCTAAAGAAATTGCAGATAATGCATCTTTTACAACGACAGGACATTTCTTATTGACTGAACGAACAATTCAATTTGGACAATGTCAACAGGATTTGATCGTATACAGCTGCAATCATCAAAATCGACCAAAGTTTGCTACAGTACTTTTAGTCTTGTAGAGGCTACAGTACTTTTAGTCTTGTAGAGCTGAAATCTTACAAATTAGTAGCTAAAAATGAGCTTAAAATAATAGCGAAGTTGATTTTCCAAAGAAATATCACAGGATCCATCTTCTATATCAAGTGGATATTTCAACGATGAAAGAACGAGCGATCGTGGTGTATAATTTCTTAAGCTTATCACTGCATTTCCTAACACATACCGTCACTACTGTAATGAGCTGAAAACCATAACAACGATCGAAGTTGATAATGTCAACGGAAATCAATTTGATAAAGCGGTTATCGAAATCAGCGAAATTTGTTGCAGTACTATGTATACAGCACTGTAGAGCACAAATTCTCTAATTTAGCAATTAAAAAATAGGCTTAAAATAATAACAGGATTGACTTTTAATAGAAATTCCATATAGAGCATCTTTTATAACAACGGGATATTTCCGATTTGTGCAAAGAGCGATCTAATTTTGATAACGTCAACAGCATTTGATCGTATACAATCGTCATCAAAATCAGTGAAAATTTATTGCTTCGCTGTTAGTATTGTAGAACATCAATCCTATAAGTTTGTTATTAAAATGCGCTTGAAATAAATAGTGGAATGGATTTTTGAACGAAATGACACACCTTTTATAATAATTGACATTTTAACTTTACAGATCAAACGTTGTTATGTATACCTATCACTTTATTTCTTTACGTATAGCTGCTGTAATGAGCTGAAACCATGACAACGATCGAATTTAATAACGTCAACGGAACTCGATTTGATGAAGCGGTCATCAAAATCAGTCAAAGGTTGTTACAGCATTGTTGGTATTGTAGGGTATACACCTTCTAATTTAGCAACTAGAAAAGGGCTTGAAATATAGCCATGCCACAATTGATATTCTAAAGAAATTCCATATAAGGTATATTGTATAACGGCGGGATATTTCAGCTTTACAGAAAGAACGATCTAACTTACTAACATCAACTGAATCAATTTCAAGTAGCGGCCATCAACATCGGCGAAATTTTACTACAGCACTATTAGTGTTGCATAGCGTCAATCTTATAATTTAGCAAATAAAAATGTACTTCAAAATAATGACAGGTTTGATTTTCTAAAGAAATGCCATATGACGTATTTTTTTATAGCTATTAGGTATTTCAGCTTATTAAGTTACAGGAAGTATGATCAAGGTTGATAGCGTCAACGAAATTCGATTTGATGCAGCTGTCATTAAAGTCAACCAAAGTTTACTACAGTACTGTTAGTGTTGTAAAGTGTAAGTCTTATAATTCAGCTGTTAAAATTGTCATTAAAACTAATGATGCGATTAATTTTCTGGAAATATGACGCATTTGCTATAATGACTTGACATTCCAGCTTTACAGTAAAGCGATCTAATTTGCTAACGTCAACAGAATTTAATTTTATGCAGTAGTCATTAAAATTGGCAAAAATTAATTAAAGTACTGCTAGTATTGTAGGGCATGAATCTTATAATTCAACAATTAAAAAATAGACCGAAATTCATAACTGGATTGATTTTCTAAAGAAATGCCATATGGTACATCTTTTATAACGACTTGACATTTCAGCTTTACAGAAGAATGATCTAATTTTCATTGCTAACGTCATCAGAACTTGATTTTACGCAGGGGTCATCAAATTAGTGAAAGTTTGTTACAGTGCTATTAACATTGTAGAGCATAAATCTTAAAATTGAGCTATTAAAAAATATATGCAAGTAAAGGCTCTACATATCTTCATTGGGCATTTGTATACTTAGCAATTCCATATGTCTTGGATGCGTAGTGCAGCCCCAAAATAACTTAATAGATTGTAGGAAGTCGCTAATTGATATGTAACATAATATGATTGATACTGTATATGCGAGATCGCAGATAAACAGGAAAACTTAGGGTTACATTTAGCGCATAACTGTGTGAAATACTTAGGGTAGATATTGTAGCAATAGTTAGGAGTGTCTTAGTAGTCTTACTTAAGTGGTTAAACACCAGAGATGATGCGAATAATTTAATGCTAAATTTATCGAAAGTTATAGGACTAAATATTAGTTAATCTTGTCCTTGATACAAGAAGTAGTTTATATCATAAAAAAAATTATAAATGATCGAATTTTGATCATTTCTGATTTTGAGACACTTTATCACAAGATAATGTCTCTTGTTATTGCTAGAATTCGTAATAATATTATGAGCATAGCTTGATAATGTAGATAGAATTACATGCTTAATTAATTCTATGATTTCGAAGCAGTGTTTTCGACAAGAAAAATAGAAAAAGTACGTATGCTTACTTGTGTTATAATCTCCAAATTAGGAACCGTAAAAATATAAAGAAGCGGTTTTGGAAGCAATTTATTCATAGAAAAGGAGTCTTTTCATGAAGTAAAGCGTAGCAATTGTTCAAGAATAGCCCTAGTTGTGACTTTTGAATTGATGTCTTTTAATTATTTTAAATAATAAGTAATAAGGTGGTCTTTCCTGTTTAGTGCAACTTGCCATGAATATGATAAGTAGCATTGGACTGGCTTTTATATTCATTTCAACTCTCAATATGCTTCGCACTGTATCGCATCAAATATTAATTGCAAATATAAAAGCGATTATGGGCTTCCAAATACCTCTGCCGTAGACATATTTATAGACTACAGTAATTTATCGACGTAATGTACCATATAGGCTACGTGACAGTTGTGCATTATAACTTAATTATTCTGCTTAATAAACAAGTATCGGTACATTAAGTATGACAAGCAAGAATTCGACCAGTATGTGTCTACGCTAAGGCTTTTGTCGAGTTTGGCTATTACGCAATGACATGTTACGTATCATATTCGTGTATGAAACATAGATCCTGTTTTAATAAATAGCCAGATAGATAGAGAGTTTTAGCACTAAATGTAGATAATCCTTAATAATTTGGTAGACAATCCAATTTATGAAAATAAAAATTGGTTTAACAAGAAATTAAAATCCTTCTTGTTATGATATTTATAAAATGCTTGATAGAACGTCAATTTGTTCGAACTTGATATTGTACTTAAACTGACTGAAAAGCGCATAAGTAAAATGAAAGCAACAAAATCGCATATTGCTACTGTACTTATTTATTATCATAGGCAGTAGCCTATACGGTGTAGGATGATGGGATAAGGCAGCAAATAAAAGTTCCTTGTCATCCGTACCTCAGTAAAATCTTTAAGTACATACTAATTTAAAATTGAGTAAGTCAAAAATTTTTACTTACCTTCTTTGACGATGACTTTCGCTGTATTTTCGCAATCATGATCAAATGCTCGAAAAGAAATAAGTGGCTTTCATAAGAGCGGGAACTATCTATATGGCAAAAGAACACATTCTATGAAAAGGCGCTCAATGCTGCACCACGAGTATTGATGATGCTAACACTCTAGAAATCTTGATTGCATTTATAGTTTTAGATTATTACACAATAGTACTATATGAACTTTGAAATCGATAATAATCGACATTTTTTCTATTTGTTGGTATAAGAATACCGTATTACTATAGAAGATGATTGAAAAAACGTGTAAATTTTGGTTAATGAAGTAACTTTCCAGTAGAAAAAGAAATACAATGATGTCTTTATTTATATTAAAACCACTGAAGATATTCGTTTAAAACCATTAATTTTAGTCATAATAACTTCTATATGATAGAGTGATCATAAATATTCAAAAGCTCGACTAGTTATAGTGTGCTTTACCAATTAAAATGGTTGGTCCATGATAAAGGAATCGATTACTTTCATTTCTACAAAAATTTACACATGGTTGCCTAGAAATGGTTTGCTTTAAATTCTTAATCGCAAAGGGCAGAGAAATGAATATCAAGAATGGATTACTTCAGACGAGTGTAAGAAATTGTTCAATTACAACGTAAATTAACATATATATTATTAATTCCGCTATTGATGTTAATTTCATAATCTCGAAAGCACAAATACCTCTGGAATGAATGCCTTTGGAGTAAATTCTTCCCACTTAGGCCAAAAAATTTGATTTTCTAACTCTTCCATTAATTCTATTCGTAGGTTTTTTTGAACTTTCTCCTCTAATTCCACTGTGATACAAAGCGATACATAGTTAATAAAATGATCTATAATGCAATTGTTACTGTTAATAACCTATTTGCAAAATATGTATAAATGATCAACTAAATACTATAACGTGAATATAATTTATGGAACAATTCTAGCCATCTTAAGTATACACGTATATAATTACTAGTTCCTTACTGTACCTAATGAAACCTGGACTGCAGTTATAGCTGATGATAGAGCTTTGCAACCATTGTCGTCTTCTTGACTGTAGTGAATAATTTCCTATTATAATAACATAGTTATTAAATGTCGATAGTAAGTAGCCGATACGTATATCATTGTAGTGCAGTCCTCTATTAGCTTAAGTTTATAATTATAAACCTATATGAAAATAGATAAATTGAATTAGAATGTAAGTTCACGCAATTTTCTATTTGCAGAAGATAATCACAGCACGTATTGCTGCAATTCTATTGAGATTTTTATATTAAGAATTCGCGAGAAAATAGGTAGCGCTAAGCATGGGAATACTATGAGATTTATATTGTGATACTTTTATTCCGAAGTGCAAATTATAAATAGATCGTAAGATAGAAATTGTAGAGATGACACTGTGAGGTAATTGGTAAGACAGAATTGTGTTGCGAAAATATCATTTTGTAAGTAATGTACACAAATCCTGAATTTTTCTGTAATAATTTAGATAGTCTGATTGCAGCTCGATATTCCTTATTAGTTATTAGATAAATCTAATTTCTGCAATAAAATGAAGTTTACTAGAAACTGGGATTCTTGTTTTATTTCGAAAAGACACTTCCATCACAATTATTATATTGGGAGTAGGTTATAGTCAATATTAGATTTTCACCTTTAGAATCAACGGATATTTGGTTAACCTCTGAATTGGTGCAATAAGTAAATCTGTCAGTTTCAATTTACGGCATGAAGTGTTTTGTTGACAATGCTGAAATTTGAAAAGAAGCAATCTTGCAATGAAGAAATTAATGTTTTGCTCACATTTTAACCAAATTCGAAGTACATGTAGTCAACGCACTTCAAATTTTAATAACATTTTACCTTTAGGTATTCTTGAAAGACGTCAGAATCCTTTATCGATTTAAAATAATTGATTGCTTTCTTGTAATTTAAGCAATAGGTCAAATATTTAGGATGAAACTTCCAACCAAACTAGTTGCGAGGTGTATGTTGCAGACAGGATTGAAATTTAATACCACGTAATTTATAAATTAGAATTGTATTCTATTAGTTAATAACTATAAAAATAGAACTGGCTTTACATACATCTGTAAAGGTGTCGACAACTGCAGCGGTACTACACAAGTTGTCTTCTTGAGCAGATTGGAATACGAGAAGCAAATCGGTGCAAAATTTAGAGCTGAGCTATAGCGAGAAGAATTTACAAAAGGCAATCAAGAGAACTCCTTGCCAATGTAAGCCTGACTGAAAGGTAATATTTTGGCGCAACATTTACTTACTTAAGTATATTACTGATGCTCTACTTAAAATAATAATTATTAAATTACGGGTATTAAGAAAATGAATACAGAAATAAATCAATACGGAGATTAGCTTTAAGAAATGATGAGAAATGAGATACTTGCAAAATGAAATAATTAATAAAAGGCAATTTTGCCTTTACGTCATGAATACGAATAAGCACGAAAGTAAGTCCAAAAAAAAGCGAGATGATATAGAAGTAATTACATTTAAGATAATTATTAGCTTTAACAGCAGTATAATAATGATAATAACATAATTGGTCCAGTACTTGCATATATACGCCTATATTAAAACGCTATATCCAGAAATTGAGTGTAACATAATATCTAGCTGGTTCATGCTATTATGAATGCTTTGGGTCGATAGCATTCAATCTGTTTCGAAACTTTATAAAGCAGAAAAGACGAAGAGTTAAGATAGTACTGTATGTAATATGATCCAGCTTGTAAAGCCTACCGCGCATAATTCCTCGATATTTCCAAATAGTTTAAAGCCATCAATTTCTGTAAGAAAGCCATATTCTTGCAGTAATCGTAAAGGCATCAGAAAAATCTAAATATTTAAAGATGATAATCAAGAATTTTTAAATCTTGAATTACTTGCAACTTCTAAAATGTCATAAATTTGGTACATCTGATCAAAGGAGATTTAAAAATTGAGTTCTTACATCTTTTAAAATTAGTAGATGGTCAATTAAATAAACACATTCGCTATGGAATAACTCCCACACGCTCGTTCTACGTTTCCATTCTTGAATATTAATACATGATTTATTTGTCTCCGAACTTTCCGAATTTAGAAAAAATTCTGTCCAATCATGCTCCTACCAATCAAGTATAGATGGCTTTTTATTCTTTATAACTTTAAAAATCGGCTTACATTAAGATTATATTTATCACTTACTAATCATCAATAGTACTACTTTCTTTATTTTAATCGAATTTAGATTTGATCGTTTACGGCAAGTACGAAATTTTTAATGTGAATAGGTCACATTATAATATAGTATGAATATGACGTTTTTTTGCATTTCACCGCTGCAAGCATTAAATGAGATATCTGATCTGGCGTAATAAGACCGTATACTATTGTATTAAAATTCTCTGTAAGAATTAGTTTTAACATTATCTTTACCAAATATTTAGCCATATCATGCTCGTGATCGATTTGATTTAATCCGGTAAAGAATGATTCAATAGATGGACTGTCTTCTCGTTTCTGTGCTTTTAGATTGTTATTATTGCCAATCATCTTTAATTGTATTTTATAAAATTCAAGAAGTTAGAATTATTAAGTTGGTTAATTATTTGGATTTGTAGACTAATTAAACAAGAAGATATTGCTGTACCTTAAATCTTCTAAATAACGTTTTAACAGTGGTTTTTCCGTCCTTCTCTGGCGATGTTATACCATTTCCATTGATTATGTCTGTTAAATGTGAAAATTAATTAGGTCATGCTCTACAAAGTGTTTAAGATTAATCATCTCGACTACCTGCATACTACATTTACAATAATAAAATTCATCGGTCATTCGAGATAGATAATGCGACGAATTTCGCGATTGTTTCGTATATGCCAACCTACTTGCTTTTATTTAGATTGTTATGCATAGCGGTAGTCAATCACTATTCGTATCTATTTCATAAGAAAATTAGTTCTATACTACTTTACTTATTGACGTAGAAGAGATTTCGCGATGATGCAGATTTGATAATAAACTACGTAAGCAAACAAAAACAGAAGCATAAGTTATAGCACCAAATTGTTGGGCTCCACTGCATTCTCTCTTTACTAGCATGTTTGCTTGTGCAACGTAAGCATAAGGTAATCTTCCATGGCTGTACTAAATTGAAACTCGGCACTAAAGTCGTTCAAGTTGAAATTTCATTCTCTAATGGAGACAGATGACGCTGGTTACATTGGTTACATGGACTACTAGAAGAAAATCTGTTCTCCTAGAGGTCCATAATTATAACGTTATACCTTTGCAATAGTAAAGTGCTAATTGATGTTGATTAATGAGAACATTATAAATTTTTTCCACAAATAACAATATTATTTAAATATTGCAATGATTGAATTTTAAATTGAACATAGCAAGAAAATGTACGGTACGTAAAAACAGCAGAGATTAAGGTACTTGTAACAGTCTAACTGCTATAATGAATACGTTGCAGAATAGTATAAAGCATGAATGTTTCAGTGAATTTAGAATCATCGTATACAATACTTGCGCAAGTTACGCTTACAGGCAGCAGCCTAACCTTTGTTCTTTCCTCGATGTAATTTGAAATGTTGGGTAGCTCTTGCCTTACTTTCTTCTATACGATCAACATTCACTTCAGGTTAAAATGTATCGCAGACTTAGTTGTACCAAATACAAAGTATAATACAATACTGTGATATAATATTATAGCCTTAGTGAGTACCAGGTAATTCAAATTACAGTACTTTTCTAACAATTACATCAGGTACAATATCAAAATCAAAATGAAGGACTCTCCATTACCATTACTGAATCATGACAACGAAAAGTTAATTTCTAAATAATCAAATGATTGCTTCATTTATAGAAGTATTATTTGAAACACTAGAAATTCTTCCAAGAAGATAATTGTTTATTTGTTTACTCAGTTTTTAATTAATTTTTTTAATTTAATGATTTATGCGATACCTTCTTTAGTTAAATCTTCCTCAATGGTAGAGGTCTTTATCGAAGCTAAGCTAGAGACAATCATTTAATTATTTTAGATTGAGGTAAATGCCATAAGTTGAATGAGAGTGAAATGTTATTTATCACAATTATAGTTTAACTCATGCATATAAACTTTGATGCCAATTAACGAAATGGCCCTATAACAAGTATTCATCGTATAATAACCTTCTATTTAATCGACAACTTTCGCCATCTTCTTTTTTCAATGACGCATAATTCTAACGTAACAAAAGTTATAACGGAATAAGGCGCAGTATAGAAAGAATACCAAGATATCTAGTAGTAGTCTATGCTACAGTAGCACGTTAACTTCGTCTTGCAACTCTACTAGCATATCTTTGTAACTATAGTATACTATAATATCTTAAACAAAACTCACTTTCCCATTTTCTCGTGCGGTTATAGGCAAAGATCGAGTTCTCTTTCGCTGTGCATGCCTCCTTTTAGCTCTCATCGACCATGGTAATGGTTCTTTATAGTGAAATTTTTGTAGACCATCCTATTATAAAATAAGCATATTCACCAGCTAAGTGTGCTAGTTTATTACTTTGTATTCACAAAACAGTTATTCAACTTCTTGGTTAAAACCAAATCTCTCCTCATGCAATAAATACATCACTATGAGTATATTATTATATGAACGTACAACTGCATCCTGATCATCATTAGAATTTCCTTCAGACGATTGGCGCTGGGGCGATAGAAATTTAGTTGCAGTACGGTAACGAAATTTCAAGAAGCCTGTTTCAGTCATAAAATGAAATATTTAAATCAAGCAAATTTTTAAATACATGGTTGAAAAGGAGTTTTTTCATGAAAGTAATATACAGTGCAGAAAAAGTAAGCACGATATATATATTTACTTGTACTTAATTTTTCTTCCTTCTTGTTATGTCTTCTGGAAGCTTCTAATTGGAAAATTATATAGTATATAATGTTGATCAGTAAATACCTAGCTCTAAACACGTGTCGGTAAATTTATAAAACTAAACGAAATTCGAGGGCTATTAATCGAATATGTATCTTGATTCCGAATTAGATTCTCGTAATTTATCCGAAACATAATAAGACAAAGTTTTATATTAAAAAAGAAAATGAAATTACTATTTTATCGAGTATCGTTCCTCAATTTAATTTATATTAGCTATCTGATGCGATACAGTAAAATTATTATACATCAAAATTAAAGTACATTAAATTTGAAATACCTAAGCTCTGAGCACGGGCTCTTTCAATACTTTCTTCTTCAGTATCGCTTGGTGGTGTAACGTAGATAGTAGGAGCCGTACCAGAAACCTTGTAGTGGTTTTTTCTTTCTATGCTTTTTAAGCCATGAATGAAACCCTCCATAATGAAATATGGACCTAGAAGATATGCATTTCATCACGTAAATTATAATTCGGTAGGATACAGTTCTTACCGGTAAATGTCTAACGTCAAGACCGTCAGTAAATATTTCTACAATTCTGATATAAAAATTATGCGCCTATAGCCACAGATTTACCATTGCACATGAAAGTTTACATCGAAACCCATAACGTATTGTAATTAAAGTGCCAGAATTAGATTTCTATGAAATTTATGATTGTAATACTTTCAAAAATATGGCTAGCTTTTGGACAAGTTAAAAATCATTGCATAATTTATCATTATGCAACTAGCTAAATACACTTTTCAGCTTCAATGTCGCAAAACTGCCGCAGTGATAACATTTACATTTCGTTGTTGTGAAAATTAAATTAATATCGTAAAGATCTCTCAACTTAAGTAGAGAAACACTATATTTAACAGCACCAATATTGTACTATTAAATTTTTCACTTTTATGTCTGAAATAATTACTGGTACATGACTAGTGAATACTACGCAAATACACCTATTAAGTATTAGTAAATTCATTTTAGCTGTTACTATTGCTATTTCTATTTGATTAATGTTAATTCGTCACATAATTTTTCTGATAAATTTTGCTTTGGATAAAATTCTACAACTTCATAGAAGGATTAAATAGCACCAAATATATAAGAACTTGTCAAGTTTAGTTTACTGTTTCGATCGCATTTTTATCAATATTAAATAACCATATTGGTCTTTCATTCTAACGTAGTATATCATTTGATGAGGACTATAAATTTAAAATTCAATATTAAATAAATTTTCTGACATGGCGATTGCGATATTTTGTCGTAAGCGAAAGTATCCCTTAAAAATCTTTTTTTAAATAATATAGAACTTTATGAAGAAATAAAATATTTAAATACAGTAGTATCCTAAGTCATTTCATTGAGACCTGATTGACTGTAACACCCCTTTTAAAAACTCAAGACGACAGCGATCATTTTCCTTCGAGAAATCGAAAATAAAGTTTCCTATCCGAATGTTAGCTAAATGATAATGACTACCAATCGAGAAAAATTACATTAAAGAATTCTAATTTTTCGGGATAGGATAGCCAAAGTGAATTACCGGACTTAATTTAATCTTACTGGTAAGTATGTTAAAAAGGATAGCGTATTGGTAGCACGATTTGGGTCTTAATAACTAAGATTTAAATAGAATCACTTATTATATTACGATGACACAAGCTGTTTATGCTTTATGAATCTTTGAAGTAGATATTACACGAAAGAAGTCATTTAGGTTAAACTTGGTAATACCTTAACAAATACTAGCAATGTAGATAACGAGATTGTTCCACTTTACAGCTTAGTCCAACATGTTTGTGACTGCTTATTAGGCCACTTGAACTTAAATAAAACCATTTTACTCTAGGTGTTAATCTTTAATTGAGGATTACGCTCGTAGTTGTTCCTTTATGTATATATACATTAATGTGTTACAGTAAATATTACTAATCCGAAGAGTGATGTTAGTTTTGAATATCAGAATCTGAATTTATAGGAATCAATTTATTTCCCAGTCATGATTAGAACGACTACATATTCTGATATTACGAGCGAATCCACTTAAATTTATAACTGAATGAATAGATAGAACTTAATCTGTACGATCTAACATTAAGGTTAACTACTAATAGTAGTAATAGCGATGACACTTTAAAATTTTACAGTTAGCGATTGAAAAGGTTTTAGTTCTAAGTGTTACTTAATAGCATGATCCAAATGATATTTAAGTGGTCCATTGGTTGAGTAATTAATTATCATCACTCTTTAAATTCTTAGTTTTGATATCATTCTACAACATTGAAATAAAAGGTAATAGACTGATGGTATTTATGGTGAAATTCAATGTAATATATTAATCTTTTAAAATACACGCGATAGCTAAGTTCGTTTTATTCTACTATTAGTATATTTATGATAACATAAGTTAGACACAGATCCCCCCCCCCAAAAATCATAAAATTAGTAAGCAAGCCGTAGATAACTTTCAGTGCTAAATAATGGTTTTAAAAATCCTTAATTTCTCACTGAATCAAATAGGTGTTTTGAGTAGAGATATTTCAATTTCACATTAAGTGTCAGGAAAACAATATTAGAACTCAATCATAGATGAAGGTAAATATATACTAATGTCCCGTTTCATTGTTTATAAGGTTATAAACCAACTTACTATATTTAATTTCAGACTTGATATGTCCTTTTCAACAAATATCTGCTATGGAGGATTTGCTGTGATGACTTCAATCTACTTCGATATAGAAATACTTTGGATTTATGTTGTAATAGGATTAGAAATTTAGTTCTATCTTACTGTTCATTCTCTTCTTTTTCTAGTTTCTTTATCTAAACGAATGGGTATGCGTTCTCATTATCACACATATTTTACATTTTAAGGCTTGTGTTCATCATAAATTACTAAGCAAAGAAACAAACTGAATAAAAAATGACTTCTTGATCTACTGACCATGAATTAAGCTTATCAATTTCTTCTTATTTCTTTATTTACAGTTATATAAAATTCTAAGAAGTTTCATCAATATTTAATGAAACAATTATCTTATGAAATCGTAAATAATTTATATATTTCGACTTTTTTTGTTTAGTACAAGGCATGAAATAATGATATACAATATGAAAGACAACATCATTTATCAGTTTCGTCCGTACTGCGGAAAATCGAGACTGTGCTTTTAATATGGTAAAATAAAAGCTGACATAGGTAATTGTCAAAGCTGACAGTAATGCTAATACAAGGTTTAGAAATGTATCAAATAGTTTAATAGCCATATAAAATAGCCATAATCGGAAGAATTAAATTCAACATAGGATAATTATGATGAAGCTCGTTAGGTATTAAGTAAAATATTAACCCTGGTACGCGTTTTTAATCATTGATTTTATTTACTATTAATCCCAATTATGTATTGCTGCAATTAGCCAGTTATCCATTATTAGAAATGGATCATACTTGATGTATAAAAGTTGAAACTAACGCAGCTCGTTCTTTATAGGCACTTTCGCAGCTTTTATGTGACATTAATCATCGTTTGCTGCATCCTAATACTTCAGGGACAAGAATTTCAACTCTAGAAATGACAGTATTTTTGTAATGCTGATTGCAACTTAAACTTGACAAAATGATGAATAATGTGCTGTAGTTCATGACCATCGATAATTACAAAAGATCTTCATTATAGTAACAATTATACAATTATTTATATGTGATGAAGGTACGAAATAGCTATTTCATTTACGAACATTTTCGAATTAGGCAATTATTCTTGCCTGGAATCTACGTGGCGAACTGAATTTTATTTAAATTACTTATTACCTTTTCACGAAGTAATAAGTTGGATATCCAAAGACTATTTTTACTAGGCTAATTTAAAATATATGTATTCGTTTAAGAATAAGATTTCCTCTTCTTAAGTATGATAAGTTCGAATTTAATTCTTGAAACTAGATGACGTCCATTCTATAAAAAATTTCTACTTCCAAGTCAAAACGACTCGGCAATGGTAGAATTAATACTTGATGATATAAAACGATACAATCCCAGCTTTTATCAGACAACAATACAAAACTTGCAATAAGGTCAAACCATAAATTTCTCTCTGATTCCTCAATTTGCATTCATTTCCGATAGATTTGGAACAACTAAATTCTTCCGAAGTATAATTTTAATTACTATTCCTAGAAATGCTATTCATCAAGGTTGAAGATAGAATCTTATTTGATCAAGATCATAGAATAGTAATTAATTATAATTTATCGGAAGCATAAATATCAGTTTCCTTCGTAAAATTGATGTACTTATAGCTGTTATAGAGTAAATTTTATATACACGTATGTGAGGTTGATAGATCAAGAATCTTCAAAACTTTAGAAAATTAAGATTTATTGAACAAAACCTCCTTTACGAAGATACTACGTAATCGATTAGCTGAGGACCTCTAACGAGAAAGAACGATCTTACTATGCTAAACTACTCGCTTATATACTTTTCCGCGTTTACAGTCTTAGCACCTTACTTACTACACACTTCAGTATTAGCATCTCAAATACAGGATAGTTTACACCTTTCATGTGAAGCTCTAGTGTGAGCACTGTAGCTCTCCTCTTCAAAAGGATTACAGTTACTAAGCTAGCTATATTTAATATTGTTACAACTTCCAAATTTTATAACAAGTACTAGATCTGCACTCAGCAAGGAGACCCAGTAATTAAGTTGAAGAACTAACTTTATTGTTAAAATAATGGGTTTATATACTTTCTTTATTGTGACCTTTGATCTACTGGCGTAGATCACAAGATCATCACTAAGAGAAAGGTTTCCCTAGTTTAGACATTACAAACAGAATATCATACCGAATATGGCAACATGAGAATACATATCTAGATAACCTTAATATAGTACCATAACTACATCTATATACGTATGACGTGATAACATCGTGATATTTAACCATATATAGAAAGAAGGTAACATACTAATTATGTAACTATCACAAAACGTGACAAATACTTAAGCTTCTAACGAGAATATCTATTACATGTTGAACACAACACCTACGGTAGACATTACTAAATATATCATCAACTTAGAATACAATATTACACTGTCTTACAACATAATTTTTCAGAATTAATCTAAGAGAGTAGCGAAATTCAATTGTCTATGATACCTATATGTTTTTAATAGATTGCGGCATAGTTTTAGAATATCATCTATGCATTGATAATTATGGTTAATGTTGATATCTAGTTACCATGAATTAGTTCATTTTTTAATAAAAGTTGGGTTCAATTATATCCAGCATGAGTTTTACGGTTTCTAATGACGTTCTAGTGATTGCAAGCTTATCATTACCTAAAGTTTGTACTAAATGTAGATGTTGGGGAGAAAGTTCCTGAAAGTAGACTCGTGGCGAGTAATTTACTTCAGTAATTTTAATTTTGTCATTGCAAATTCCGTAGATAGAATTTAATTAGCATATGGCATAGCAGAATTCAGAGTTAATGTGAGATTGAATTGAGAACATATAAATGTAAGGATATATTTGATGCAAGAAAGGTTTAGGTTTTAATATTAGAGTACAATTTTTACAATGTTACGAAAAGATATATATTGAAAGAGCATAGCTTGATATTAAAAACGAGTACAATAAGTACAGCTAGACCGTAGTTAGTTTGACACCATTTGTATACCAATACCTAAGTACAAATACTAACTAATCTCGCTATATTAGTAAATCCTTTTTCCACTATTCCGGTAAACTATTACAGTTAATGATTGATTATTAATAGCAGAGTGGAGCTACGGTTCGCTGATTTCTATTCCGGTTCACTGATGTCGATGTCGCAATATACTTAAATTTACTACTTCATTGAGCATCGCTTGTTAGTAAATGTTGTGCGACTGCAAGAGACTATGATTGTCACAAAATATCCGGCGGTAAATTGCCGTCAAAAGCCATGAAAGTTCATTAGTAAATATCGCATTTTAGAGGAAGTTGTCGGCAATTGAATATTATTGGTCAGCTCTGAATAAAACAAAACCGTTTACCGATTTGCAGTTTAATTCTTTGTTAGAATTCATTGTAAAATTGGGACTTAGCATTGATTTAATACAGTATTACGATATATCGGACAACAAATGACGATAAAGGAATATATAATTAGAACTAATGACAGGAATTAATGACAAAACTTAAAAGTACTGCAGTACCTATTATTTCTAGCTAACTAGAATAAATCTGGCTACATCCTCTAAGAGGCAAACCTGTAACCAAACAACAACTACCATGAGGCTCTTTCTAATATTCAATATCTGTCAACAATGTGTTTCCTTCACCTGAGCAGGTAAATTGCGTTTCAATTATACTAAGATTGAATTCCTGAACCGCAGTAGAGATAAATTCCACAACGCCTACTCTGTTTTTTATATCTCTAGTTTCATAAAAACGCGTTGTTCTAATTATCTACTAGAATTTTACGCTTCCTTTTTACGTTTACTTAATTATTATAAGATATTGATATAATGTATTGCGCAGTATTATTTCTTTCTGGTGTTTAGCCAGGTCAGTTAATGGATTACTGGACTTTTTGGTATAAGTCAGCCGGAAGCTTCAATACTGTAAGCCTATTTACAGCTAAAGTGATTAATAGTCAGATATTAGACAGATGTTCTCTATAGGAAAATTTTATTATCTAAATCTAAACTGCTGTGGATAACTGCAATGGTATATCGTTATCTCCTATTTATTTACTATTTGTTTTAATGTATGAAATTTAATTTAAATAAATAAGTGCCCTAATAAGGCTTCGACTTTGTCCAGAAGAATGATTCCCGGCAAATCACTTATCAATTACCTTTTTAATCTAGTAAAGCTCTGTCTATCACCAAATATAATTTTACGGCTTATCGAACCTACTTTTTCTGTTATCTAATTGTACTGTTGTAGCTACTTGCTATATTATGAGCAATTTACGAGAAGAAAAATGAGAAGAAAAATTTCAAAGAAAATAGGCGTGGATAGGATGCTCTATGTTCTAATGACTGCTATTAAAAAATTGACGAATACTATTATTACACCGGTCTTTAAGTAACTGACGGTTCACTTTCATCTACTGTAAGTTTTATTCCTTGCTGTAGATAGCTCTACCACTGAATCTTCTATAACTTACTAAGACAAAGAATGTTTAAGACATTAGTCTCTAGTAGATTCAGATAAGAACCGATACAGTATAATGAAAAGCATACAGTATTTATTTACAACAAAAACCAACTTATCAAACAGTAAAGAATTGCAACTAAGTAATCGTATGACGTGAACTCTTTACAATGTCACCGCAAATTTGACTGGTGCAACTCATGTAATAATTCTATGCTAGACATATATACGATTACGCCAATAAATTCTATTTTATATGATGTTATAGTGTTATAACACTGAATTTCAGAAATTAGATAGTAAATAGTAATGTTTATGTAGGGCAGTTTTGTTGGTTAGATTTATCTAGTCAGTTTCTGTTGAGACAATTTATATTTTTAATATATCGTTGGATTTTCGTGAGACAGCAAAACTGAAATTCATAGTCATATAATGGTGATAAGAATAATTTACATATAGCTCGAATGACTATGATCGTAACTAACTAAAGATGGATTATTTATTTTAAGAATATTCCGTATATGGACGTAACGTAATCCGATTATCATGAATAAATTATTGGATATTTATGTTCGATAATACTTTTGTCTTCATTAATTGGCGGTACATAGGATCAATATCAAATCTATTGGAAGGCTTTAAAGCCAATCATGTTATCTAGAACTTATAAACTATTGCCGAAATATGCATAAATTGCAGTATATTATGTCATAAAGGTAATTCTAGAAAAACTGTGTTTGATCTGACTACGTCGTGTTCAAATCTCGTTCATTGGAGTGATTCTTTCGATAGAGTAGGCATTATTACCTAAGTCCATTAATTGTCATCATGCACAATTTCATTTATTCAAAAATTTTAAAATCCTTATAAACTAGTTTATTTTATATCTGTTAATTAGTAAACATCGCGTTACATTCATGGTACTCTACTGCTCCTATTAATTAACTTAATATCATTTTTGGATTGAGAGGAGGGTTTCCTTGTCTTTGACATGAGCATGTATTCATAGATTCTCAAATTTTATTTGCGATAATTATGTTACTGTTATGATCAGTCTTAACTGACCACATCATTTACCTTAACAACCATTTCCCACCGGCGAAATTTTAAATTTTTGGCGCAAAGAAAATTGTAATACAACATAAGTTCATATATTAGATTATAGTAAATTAAGTCGAGATGACCTAGAACTATGACAATATTTGTTTGAAATTTAGAAGTTAGTTAGTAATGGAGAATAATCACACTATTGCTACTTGATTTAAATAGATGGAAATATTTTTATAATTAGATTTTATTATCAAATTACTTTTTTAAAATACTAACAAAATAATTTCCAGGTCTATGCAGGATTAATATTAACATCTCACATGAATTTGCCATGCTTTAAGTTAATTATCACCCTATTAAAGTAATTTCATGAAAATGGTATTGGATTAAATGGATACAGTAATTGTTCTGTAAAAACCTCGAAAGTGCTGATCTGCAGGGGAACATAATATCGGGAATGTTGTACTTGTAGTACATTATAAGACAAAAAGACTGGATTATGATGTAATGATACATACGGTAGCTATGAAAGCATTCTTTATTTTTTGATTCCAATTCGATGATTGCCAATATATGATTTTCGTTAGCAGATAAATATTAAGTATTAGTTAATGCATATCATGATGTATCACATTATATGAAACTATATTAAAGATTGCTAGGATAGAAGTGACGAACGATCTTGTGAATATCTTATTACGTAATCATGGTTAGATATTTCAATGCTGCGTGCTCAAAATTTATTGAGTTATTACCTAGTATTCTGTTAGATTTGAATGTAGAACGATATCGATTATAATTTTAGAACGATTTAAAGTTAACAATTTATTTATTAATTAGTCTAATCATGTTAAAATAAATAAATCGTAAAAATGAGCAACGTATAAGAAATATATTTTCATTATCGATATGGTTAGGTTTAAATTAATTGATTAGTGTACTTTTGAGAATATTTGCAATATCAGTTCATCGTACAATTACATTGCCATGCAAATTTATGAACACTTTCATTCCAGGGAGTAAAACTTGAATTTCGAATCATAATTCCTTTCTCTGATACTAAAATTTTAAGAATGTTTTATGAATTTAGATTTATTAATTATTAATATATTCTAGATAACATAATCTCCAGCGACGTACGAATATAGCATAATTGCGATAAATTTATTAATTCGCCTACAGTGATCAGGTTTAAGTTTGATCATAAAGGTAAAAAAATAGAACATTTATATGACAAATACAATAATTTCTTGTATTTAGACAAGCATTTACATATTTTAATCACCGTACCTCCTAGTTGTTTACCATCAGGTAAATTGTGAACATGTGGTAAAGTCGGTACTTCTGGTAATTCTTCTGAAATATTAATAGCAGGAGTATAATTGGAGCTGCTTTGGATTTGCCGGTCTGGTATTGATCCCCATGCTGAATAGCTTTCGATATTTCTCATACAAATTTTTCCATTTCTTGATACAACAAATAAAGTAGACATACTACGACCAGCAATATTACCAATCATTGGATCCAAATCTAAGTAAAATAGAAGTATTGTATCATCCTATTTACGTATTTTTTATTGATTACCTCGATGGTTAATTTATTTCATCACTAATCAATAAACTGCACAAATTATTAATTATTCTAATAAAGCTATTTAAGCTTTTCTTTCAACCCATCTGTCACGGTACGCCGTTACTAATTAAGTAACTGTAAATTAATGAATGCTTATGAATAGATAAGATAAGGTTATGTGCTATGTTTTAATGCGCTTGTAGCTGATAATAGGATGGTAGAAATGAGATAAAAATAGAAGTTAGCAGTTAATTTACTGTAGGTTTATAAGGTATGTTAATCTCTAAAAATTGAGCTGTATATGGATGAAGATTAAGCGTCTTAACACCTGATAGCTTGTAGCTATCTAAGTCTGAGAATATCGACATGTATATTTAGTAATGGTATTATACTAATTAATGTAACTTGTAAAGCATGAATTCTCACTCGTTAATATTGGGATTCACTGTAGAAACCTATTTAAGCGCGTGTGTTTGTAGAATAAAGAAGGTAATTGCTCAAGAAACGGCAAGACTCATATCGCGAAGAATAGTGTAATAATTAGTCAGTTGTCTGTGGAGATCAGCCGAGAAATCGAGTTCTCAAATACTTCTCTCATAGAAACTGAAAGTACTGGGAGAAATAGCCCAAGTTTTAAGTAACTACACTAGAGTTCTTTACTTTCCTTTGCCACAAGTGAGGGTTGTGACACCATCATTCATGCATTACTCTCGGAGATGATAACATTTAGATCATTGTTGCATTTCAAATGCCTTAGGTATTTCATATTAATTATTTAGTCTTTGTTTATGATAATAAGTTGTTGTCTAGTAAACATATTATATATTTATAACTATAGAAATGTTGTCTCATAGATAATCTATACTAGAGTGGTGTTATTACCTATCAATTTTGAGCCATTAAAATAAATGCAACGATTTTTCCATCTAGAAATAATTTCAACAAAAATACTAACGCTTAGTGAATAGAGTACAAGTGAGCATGGCATTAGAATTAAATTACTTATATAGACAAATGCATAGATTCTGTATAATAAATAGCCTGTATTACATATTTGTTCATCACACTATTCTCAATAATGGAGTAACAAAACTCCTTTCAATTAATAAGCTAGAAATTACCCCAATTTCATATTTTCTCGCGTACAAGCAAAAAATCCATTTTCATATACTAAATAATCGCGAAAATGAAATTCTGGAAGAAAAGGGAATTGTTTGAGGTTATAAACAATTAAACAATAGAATACTTCCTGTTATGAGAAAAATTCGTAAATATCACCATTAATTATATAGCTAACCTGGTAAATTTCCAGAAGGTACGGCAGATGAATTAGCAATTGTAAATAGGGTGTTTTCCTCTGTATTATTATTAAGACATAAACAAAATTTGATGAGTACGAATTCAATGGCAACACATAAAGTAATTAAAATTTTAGTGGTTTACTAGCGTTCACCTTGATGTATAAAAGATACCGACATTGCAATTCTTGGTATATAGATTTTTTCGTTGTTGATCGGATTTTCGTAGTAGCTGTTAATAATTAAAATCAGATTCTGAACTGGATCTTGATTAATCTTTTTCTTCATGGTGACGTTAAATACGACTATCTCTTTTAATTCTAGACTCCTTAACTAGGATATAGCAGAAAAAATGAAAAAGACAATATTACTGATAAATGAGATGTATTAAGTAGAATACCTTCTTAATGGTGTAAAGAAGTGGCATCTTACCCACAAATTGAATGTGTGCACTGAAAATTCGGATTGATAAAGTGACGTTGAAACATTGCTAGCACATGAAATCCCTCCCATATAGTGAGGAATTAACCATTTCATGGTTATGTTATTTGCCTTCCAATTAGATACTGTAGAATGTTGAATCCTTATTGTGTAATCAACAGTTTGCCTAATATAAAAAATACAAAGAGTTGTAGTCAAGTTCAGTATATAGCCTGTATATTATTAAATAAAAATGAATGATCTAAATACACTTTAATTGATTTAAGTTATAGCCATCCTTATAAAAGATTCAGCTTTAACAATGATCAGTGCCAACCTTGAGAATCTGATCAGTTACAATGACCGAATATATATACAGTAGATAAAACAGGTATTAACAAGATTTTATAGCAAAGCTAAAAATTTATCTCCGATTCTACAGGTTATCTACGTACTGTATTTATCTCGTACTTATACTGGAAATAGTAAAATTTATAAAGTATTTTACTGCGGAAGTAAAGATCTTATAAGTTAACATCGTATCATTTCAGGTTATTTACTATACTAAAATTATAATCAATCAAGTCAAAGATGGTAATTTTTAAACTGCTTCAACAATGAACATATTAAATGACGATAAATTCAATACTCGAGTTAGTCACAGAATAGGGCAGTGGCAAGATTTTAATATCTATAATTATAGATACAGGTAACTTTTAAATCTTTGGTTATAATATTTATAAAATAAGTCCGATTGGTAGATTATATTCTCTTATGAGTTGTTGTTCTTGAACACCTGAGGTGCTAGCTTTAGCTGATCTGCTCCTAATTGGGTAACATTAATCATATTTAACTGATGTGTTTAGAAGAAGTATATATATATAAAGTACTGTAATAAAGTAAGAAATAATTTGGTTATGAATTTCCTTTTAATGTCTTGCTTTGAGTAGAACATGTTCCCGTTCATTTGAATGGGAACTTTACCACTAGGAGTAATTGTAAATACTTTCATTTAGGCTGCTTTGCTCAAGATGTGTCGTATTAAAGTAGTAGAGCATACAAACACCAGAAGGTCTTGTAATACCATAGGCTCGTCGCTTTTTACATTCATTACGTACTTTAGTTGGCAATAGAATTATACACGTAGTTCTTAGGGAGGTTTATAGTTATCATGAATGTGCTCTTTTAACAAATATTAAGAAAATTATGCTACAGCATTGAAAATTTTTTGGTTTTAGTACAGTACGTTTTTTTTTGCAAAAGTTACATATTAAACGGAATGCTTCTAGGCAAAAACTTTACATCTATCGTTACGTGAGTGGCCAGTAAATAATGCTCACTAACATTTGTTCTATTGGTTCTGTGGCGTTATGGCTGCTATCAAACTTCAAATCTGGAGCATAAGATGTCAAATTATGGATCGCGATATAGACTGCTGATTTTGAAGTTAGAACCGCATTAGGCCCCGCAATAACATTACACTGTATCCAGTAATGATTATGGTTATAATTAGTAGTGATTGCTGCTAGTTTGACTGTGAAAGATATGCTGATATTCCTATCTTCCATGGATGCATGCTTAGGTGATGAAGCCATTCCAAAATTTAAAATACCCCTACATTCAAGAAGTTAAAGCGAAATACCAAATTTAATTTTGTAATTTTGAGTGAGCATTAAAGAAACCGTAACAATGAAAAGTACAATAAAAAGATGAACTTGGCAATACATTACTTTGTCTTAGCTGCAATTGCATCTAGATCATTATTATGGTATGTAAATAAATTATTCCATGAATTACTATAGACAGCATTGCCAACACTATCGACTTGTGCATGAACCAGTTCCAAAATTGCTTCACCTCTTGAGGCATATATTTCAATAGTGTAATTGCTTGGAATAGGAATAGTTGTGATTTGAAGGTTAAATTCAACTTCTTGTTGTAAGTCGGTAATATTAGTTGATGTGTCAGGGCTTATAGTAATAATTGGCGATTCCGTATAGTCTATTGGATTGCTTATAGTTTTAGCAAAATATGCAATTGAAGCGACATCAGAGTAAGTTATTTCCAATGAACATTGCAGCGTATCATTAGGATTAACGATAGGAGAAACTGTCATACTAATCCAACCTACATCAGAAATGAATATAGTGCACATCTTTAATGGTTCAAATTTAATAGGATGAATTAATTGCTTGTTGGTTTGCTTAAATAAATCCAGATATATACTGTAACATTTATTTAGGAAGATTAATTTTAAGTGGCTCTGCTAACTATATCAAGCAATCATTTACGAGTATTTATATGCTAAAGTTGGACAATTTAGAACCATTTTATTGCTACAATTTCGAAATAGCTTAGAGAAGAGAAATGATTCAATCAATTTATAACTATTTTATCGTCAAATAGATAGGCAAAACTAGTTTAAGTTTTTGCAGTAAATATTCTGAAATTTGTTGTGAGACAGAACAGTTTTATGACATTGCATTAACTAACCTGTAATCATTTTGTGAGCGGGTAGATTATCAACTGTGACATAGATGCTAGAGTTGACAATGTAACTGTCAACATCAATAGTTATATTACAATCACCACTGGAATTATACTGACATTTCTTATTAGAAATATCCTCAATAGAAACTTGAATAGTGTTACCACCACCGATTTTTGGATTCAATTTAGGTTTTGGATCAAACAACTGTATCGAGATGTTTTTAGCCATTTTATGCTCCGTTATATTGGTGCAAATTGTGAAGTTAAAATATACAGTATCATTGGGCTGAAAATCATTCCCAACAGTAAAGGTTGCAAAATCAATTTCTAGATAGTTGTTGCCAAAGTTATTACTTTCCGTAAAGATATCAACTTCTATTCCAGACGGTGTCGGTGCCTCTGTCGCAGGTTGTACGATATAGAGCGGCCATACCGTAGATTCGATTGATGAAGCTCCAATAGATATTGAAGTAGTGCTGTCTGGGTTGAGTTTATTAGTAAATGAAGGAGAAATGGAAAATTGAGATTGAACTTGATTCCATGCTACAATAGAATTTGATACCATACTTGTTGCAGTAGTTGCCGAAGAAGTTGAAAGCGATAGCTGCGCAGTTTGCTCACTAATAGAACTAGAAAGAAGAGCAGAAAAACTTGTAAAACTAATTGAATTAATCAGATTGCTGGTTATCTGCGCTGTTGATTCTGTATTGAAAGATTGTTTAGCTGATATTTGATGGGATAATTGTCCGCTTAATTCACTTAAACTCGATACTGTTAATGCGTTATTACTTATAGAACTACCGACAATTGTTGTAGCAAAAGTTGTCATGCTAGTGGCCCCAAGAGAAGAATCATCAGTTGTAGACGCAATGATGTTACTTAGAATGGATGTAGCTGAAGAAATAGCGCTGTTACTTTCTAATGAAGATGAATCAGTATTTAAAATATCTGTTGATTCACTGTTCGTAGTGTTAGTTGACATCGCGGACGAGAAAAGATTAATTTTATTTATCGATGGTGATATTTCAATGTTGCTGGTGGTTTGAGTTGCTTCATTGATTTCAGGCTATGACAAAAATCATTAAATTGATATTCGGCAATTTATTTGTTATGCAAAAGCTATCTTAAAGCATTAATTCAAATTTTAGATTAGATTTTCTGGCTTAAAACTATATAGTAAGTACGGTTATACTTTCGGATCTTATTTGGATACACGGTCTAATAGCTTAGCCAATGATAAATTCTTGGCAAGCATTTATGCTTATGATACCATTAGTAATGGATTTACTTACCTCTGGATCACTATAGTATATGAAGCTGGTAGTTACGGATTTCGAAATACCAATAGCAGGCTTTACTTTTATATCAGCGTAAAATCGGGTATTATTAACAATACTTGCATTAGATAACACTGATAGATCGATAGCTACTCTAAAAGTAGTACTGACAATCTCTTCTACCTGTATACTATTAGAAACAAGGCGCAGATTGATACTAGATTGCCAGTTAAGATTGGAAACATTTGATGGTATCAATTTTACTGGAAATATGGATGAAATATTGATGCTTTGATCAGTTTCTGTTACAGTCATATTATTCACAGATAGCATTCCTTTTCCTAATTGAAAAGGAAGATTCACTGAAATGGTTAAGTTATTAGTAGACGATTTTGGAAGAGCAATATCAGCATTGATAGTGATGTTTTCGCCAGATGTAAGCACTGTTGTATTAGTGTTAGCAGTGATGTTCAAAGTGTTTGTGGTGTTGATTGTTGTAGATAGTAGCATGCTTGATATTTGCTCACCATTTATTGTAAGGTATTTGACGTATACCTTGGGCTGTATGCTACCGAAATAGCCGAAATAAGGCGTTAGTAAGATTGATATTGAGCCAGAAACAGTAGAGCCTATGTCCACGATGTCAATGTTACCGTAAATCTGTTTGGTGTCCTGAAATATATAATAAAGATAGGGCGTACACATTTGAGGCTGTGTGGTCAGGGAATAATTGAAGGTATTAGGCACTGTTGTAATAGCATCGGAACCAAAATAAGTAATATTAAATTGATAGATGGGTGTTATGCCGGTATTGACAGCAGTGTAATTATAGAGTAAAATATCCCCAGCATTATAGTTCAAATTTGTATCGTTGAGGCTTTGTAGCGTGAGAGTAACTGTAGGTGGTGCCTAGAAGTGCATAAAATAGAGTAAGTTGTTAGATTTTAGTTGCATCGGATTTAACAATAATTGTCGGTAAAGTATAGCTATTGCGAGGTAACGGGCTGATCTCAGAACAATTTGAAAGCAATTAAGAAAAGTATAAAAATAAGTTTAGTAAAATCAAATAAACCTATCGGTACGATTTTAGTATTTTTAAGCCTGATGGGTTATAAATTAAAATCAGAATAATACATATTGAAGGCACTCCTCAAAAATTTTTTGGAAATATTGGAATTATGCACAGTGCTTTATCAACGAACAAGAAATTTAAAATTTACAAATTGCAGTATGTCGTAGTCACTATGACATCATATCAAATCATTTGTTAGAACAACCACATTAATAAGCATTTGAGCATTACAGGAAGAGCTAAACTTAAAATTAGAATTTTAATTTTCTTATAAGCACTTATTGGTTAGAACAAAATCTTTACTAAAGTCAAATTAGTGGACAGTTTTGAGACTTTTGTTTTAAAAATTTTAACCTCTCACGATATCAACTAACCTCTTGGCGAACTGTATTGAAAATTGTCAGACCATGCATGCCAGTCCAAATTGTTTCATTTAACGTAATAACACTGACAGCTATCCATTGCGTGCTGTTATTAATAACATATGTAGTATTTAAATAGGTTAGCGTTAAAGTGGATAGTAATTTGTCCGTTAGCAACATTTACTCCTTGCTGCAATTCAGTACTTTCTGTATTCGTTACATTACCTATCACATCAACAATAAGTAAATAAGATAATTAATATTTTAACATAGGTACTCTGTTATCTGATAGAGGCATCACGTTTATCAGTATTTATTCACCTAAATCTAATGTAATCCGATCGGCTTGTCCTCCTGAGAACGCGCTATGGAAGATTGCTTTCGACGAATCGCTTATTACGACAGGTGTTACTGCAGAACCAACACTAGCTATTTCCAATGTATCCATTTGGACTTGTGTATGATTACATATTGGCAAAGCATCGATTTCAATTGAAATTGGCACAGTACCATTTCCCAATTGAACAACCAGTTCATAAGATATTTGTTGACCTGCTTCAACAGTGGTAATGTTGCGGATAGGCTGCAGTTCGATTGACGGCATTGTAGGATCCTATAATTAATCATAATTAGTCTTACTAAAACCTGTTACAGAATATTAGTTATTGTAATAAATGCTCGATAAGGTAAATTAATTGTGTTGGTTATACGTTATTGATACTCAGTATCTTTACGCAAATATTAGGATTGATACATGATATTGAGTATTTTTTGGACTGGGAGTTAATCTTATAGAAGAGTTAAGATATTATAGTATTAAGATATTAGTATAAGATCATTAGCTTATAATACCTATAAATACCCTGACCACATCAAAAAACAATCTAAATGGCTCATGATATCTATTCTGAATTTCCAATATCTTGTTTGTAGTTTAACATTTTAGTATTTTACTGATGCTTTAATCGTTTTTAAACTAAAGAATAGAACTAGGTCGCAGACATGAAAGTTCTTCACTAGCGGTTAGATTTTAGAAACAAATTTTAGGAAATGCCGTATATCACATAAATTGCCGCTGATATAGAATCGTAAGTAGAAATTTGCAAGTTAAGTTAGTATATCACAGATTAGAATCTATCCAACACAGTTTTTAATATTTTGCTCATTTATTTTGTAATGGACGCGTATTTATAATTGAATGGTCGCTTAATACGTATAATTTCTCATGCATTCAGAGGTAAAGTTAACATAATCTTTAGAATATAATATTCGAAACGCAAAAGGAATGGATCGTTTCGGGGTTCATCTAAATTTAAAATTTAAGACGATGTGATAGATTTCTTGATATAGCTGTAAAATCAAGCAAGTGTCCGCCTTGCTGAAACTAGTATATCGTATTAGTAAATTTCAATTTCATGATAATTATTTCAACATTAGATTCCGATGTTACTATCAATGTTGATTAATCAATACCGTAATATGTACAGTATATCAGTAACGATTTCTAATTTAAGAATTTTTTAGTAATTGACTATTCGAACCGTTTCGCTGATATTAAAAGTTGCAGATCTACTGCTTAATGGAGTTAAAGGTTTATGATCTCTTAACAGTGTTATAAGTATGCATTAAGTTACTGTTTATTATAAAGTAAACCTACAATTGATAGCGGAAGACTTCGTTTCCAGCGGTGATGGACTTGCTGCCTTTCGTCTTCATATTGATAGTAAACGTATAATTTAAGGGTTATTGGTAGCCGAGTATTCTCTGTGCCTTCTTCGACGCCAATTAGTAGTTTATCTTGATAGCGATGTATTAGCTGTTTATCTATTTTGTAGTAAATTTCTCCCGTTTGAGGATTAATTCGAAATGGTGAATTTTCGTCGACGATGAAATATTTTAAATTTTGACAGCCGCAAGAGTTTTCGCAGTTATAATTAGGTTGTATTTGAAAGAAAGCTTGTCCATGCTGCAAAGTTTGGATCGATAAACTGGTATAGAAGGTGCTATTCTTAATTGCTACAATTAATTTTCAGTAAGGATGTTGTAAGTTAATATATACATATATATACAAGTTTAATCCTCTCAAAATTTTTGGCACAATTTAGCTCAATATGGATGCTGCATTAATCTATTATTCTTATTTAAAATACTATGGCGATTTAATACTTATAATACCTGACAATTGGCAATTTTCTCCTATGAAGCAGTTATTGCAAATACATTTGCCGTTTATACATCTTCCGTGAATACATTCCTGATCAATCGTTCTATCAACGGCAATTTTACGCAAAAATAAAATAAGAGGTTACAGGATTTCAGCGTTGTTGTTACGGGAATTAGATATTTCTTACTTATAGCAGGAATTGTTACAAATATCACATTTTTCCGCAAAAGTACTTTCGTCTTCGTTTAGGATCTTTCGGCAATTACATTTTTCTGAACAAGTACTAAGTTTATTTACATGGCATATTTCACTGGCGAAGGCTGTCAAATAAAGTTAAAATAAGCAAAATTTCATTTCACTTATATTGAAAATGATACTAGTAATTAAATATTGTCGTCTAGTTTTGATATAGATTACTTACTTGGTGAGTTAATGTAGATAATTAATAAGAGTAGCAAAGATCGAAAAAAGTAAGTCATTTCGAAAAGCTAGATAAGATGTTCATTAATAGCGAAAGAATTCCGTAAGCCAATTTACAGTTCAAAAATAGTAGCAATCAGAGAAAAATGCCATTGCCACAAAATAAGTATATCGCGGTGCACCTGCCAGCTAGGAATATTATTAATTCATGACGATCGCTAAAACAAATCATAATTAATGCATAACCCAGTAATACAGATAGAAATTCTTTTCATTTACGCATTGAAACCTTTGAAAAATAAATTAAATGTTGATAATAAATGCTTTAGATTACGATAGAATTTAAATAATATTAAAATTTCAAGAATAAGTAGATTGAAACTATAAGCTACAAATTTCGACATATTTGATGATGTATTTGTGAAACTAATTTGCTAGTTTTCTGGTATTTATAGCCTAAAATTTTCTTTTTCATTCTTTTCGTAAGCAGTAATTTTATAGTAAGATAGATTTCCGCGCGTCTTAAATTTAAAATATTATATCTCGGTTTCAAAAATTTCATCGCATAATTTTATAAAGTATCAGCTTTTTTAGACTTATTTATTACCAAATAAATCTTCTATAAATAATTGATTGAATAAGCATTTAGTTTCATTTATTAGTCTGTAGGTGAGAACGACTAGACGGTATCAAATTAGATGAATTCTTAAGAGAATTGCAATCATTGTCCATGCAATTACTGTTTAAAGTAGGTAGGTAGCAAATGAAGAACTGTTTACATTAAATTGCCATACGTAATTTTACCTCAGATAGTACGATAAATTGAAGTGTGCATTATACGATATAAAAGCATATAGGTACGTATATAAATGTATTGATATTAATAATCTTTACTTTAGATGTTCACAGTTCTTTGGATTTCGAGCAAACTTGTGACAATACGTAAGTTTTATTCATCTATATAAAGAAACGATAGAGAACTACACAAAATTTACCTATGAATTCCTGCTATTTCCTACGACTAACATCTATCCTGTAAAATATAACGGACAAGAAATGTTAGTGGATAAAACTATTAATTTGGGAAATGAATGTTTACATCAATTATTACAAACTAGGAATAATTACCAGTAACGCAATAAATTAAGATAATTAATATTTCATTCCGCCTAATTAAAAATTCGGCTTTAACTTAATCTATCTTTTAAATAGCCAAAATTTATAGGCTCATATGATACAATTCACTTATCAAGTGGCTCATCAATCCGCCGTAGGAATGAAGATTAACTCTGTTAATGTATTCTGTTAATATAAACCATTGTAAAGCTACGCTCCTAGCAAACGAATGAATACGCTACTATTTACATATTATTCTACAACAAAGTTTAGTGGTTGCAATTAATGCTATTCTAGGCCTAGTTTGTTAATTTGAATTTTGCTTGGTAAAATTTTTTTAAAAGGGAAATTGCTTTACCAAGCATTTCCATCAATATGAATATTTGACACTAGCAAATGCTGATATAACCTTTCGCTACGTTGGCTCGTAGAAAAGGAATTTTAAATTACCAGCAGCTACTTTTATAACATAACGAGCATGGGTATGCAGATAGCAATAGGATGAAGCTAAAAAGTGGCTATAAGATCTAATACAAAAACGTGTATAGTTAGATGTAACCGTTTAAATGATTCAATTCGCTTTGCCGAAGTAAGTTTTGGTAAGCTGTTTCAGCCAACAGAACGTTAAGGTTTGCTGTTTAGAGTCCAATTGATTTTAGTCGTTAGAACTATTTTTGTAGTCTATAATATACATAACATATAGTTATATAATCTTGTGGATGCTCTCTGCAATGAAGATTTTAAACAAGATTGATTGAACCGTCGTATTTCGGGATTTCAATATTGTTCCCGTTAGGGCTTTCTCGACCAGAAATAGATATTGTTTTGCTTTCAAATAAGATACTACCTTGCTGAAGGCAAGAAATAGTAAGTAGACCTGAATCATCAGATAGAGAATATGTAAGGCTAACAATAATTTAGATACGTTTAGTATACAAAAACTTCAAGTTGCACAACGATTTCTATTCCCAACTAAGAATATCGCTTGTTAATTTATTGTTATGATGGGAATCCTTGTCAAATACGGTAAATATCCTTTAACGCTGGTCATTCCACTTTATCCCTTGGCGAGGTTATGACCACAACGAAGCATACTTATATAGGGTACTTTAGCATCTGCTAATACAGCTTATAATTAACATGCTAGATATTGGTATAGACAATGAACCGGTCATAAATGACAAAAAAGAACATGCTGATTGATTACTGTTTACAATATATCCTTTTACATTTAGTCACAAAGTATAGAATCCCATTCTCTGTCATGTAAAAATTCATATTTTAAGGTGTTTTGTAGGGAAAAGATTTGATCATGCTAGCCAAGAGTTAAAAATATTGCACAGTAAGCCTGTTTATTAGGTTTATACTCGACATTTACCTGCAGTATGACTCTATTTATTGACGATGTCCTGATAGTCAGGATGCTACAGTAAGCCACTAACTAGTCTCTTTTGGATAAAACTGAACTCAAATTTTATTGAAAACCAGTTAATATCAAGTGAAAGTACATAAACATTAAAATCATTTCTTATCAGTATATAGATAGTATTACCAAACTATACAGTTATTTTAATGATTCAGTAAATATAATAGATATGATAAAATCCTTCTAATAAGATATCTAAGAAACTAGTTTAGGGCTACTATGTAAAAGTTACTCCGTGGCAGCACTTTAATTTACATTTATAACCCTACACTAGTTTAATTAATTCAAGATTACCATGTGATACGCTGTTGTAGATGAATACCTAGATAAAGTGTCTCAAAAATAGCTTTTATGATACACTAATAAACTATATCACACTAGGGAACATTTATTCTCGCGCTTAGGAAATTGCGTGTCTATTAGCAAATACTACATACGTATAGTAGTTAGGTAATGAATATTGCCTGACCTTACTAACAAAGTAGTAAAGTTAAAAACCTCTAATTAATACAATTTATGACGACAATTGGATCCTTAGATGGTCATAAGACGTTGACATTTATAAATTTGTTTATTTGAATAAGATTATATCTGAAGAACTTGCAACATTTCTGCATATTTTCTCTGTCTGTAGCTCCGCCTATTCCTTCCTTCCAATCCTATTCGTATAAGGTTTATTGCGCTACCACAGAGTTTTTAACGAGTCCTATGCAGTATATGATCGCCGATACTGAACGCTATCATGAAACATAAATTTAATTTAGCTACAGCTGCATTTCTACATAAGTTAATAAATAAATTTAAAATCAATGGTTCCGTATGAGATTAACAGTTAACACAAAGGGATCTTAGCTAGCTACGAACTTTCAAAATTGAAATCCTAGAAAATTTCTTTAATTTCTTATCCAAAATTCATAGAATTTTATGCCTCACTAATCACCTGGTGTTTCTATCAATATTTTTACTTTTATTTATTATTTTTAAATCACCAGCGAATTTTAATTATATTGATTACTCATAGATTTGTATTAAAGTTTATAATAGATGGAGGGAAAAAGCTTGACCATCAAGTAAGAAATTAACGCTTAAAACACCTTGATTTGCGTAGTAAAAGGACGATGGTGTCTACTTGATCTCACCTTCTATCCTTCTATATGGAAAGGTTCCTAACTACTGTATGTGCCAATAGCATTATAGTTTACCAATGTGATTAGAAATGTGTGATTCGGTATATCTTGCGATATAATTTTTAAGCAAATATTTTATAAAAAGCTCCAGTGACGCTGATATCGCAAGATGATCACACCTAAAGACTTAGGATTTAATCCTCTAAAATATTTGATATCGCCAGCACATTTGCATAATTTTATGATATTGACGATAGCAATCTATTCAGTATTGCAGCATGCGATGACGCCCTAGGATCAAAGTCAACAAGTTATCACTAGTACTTGCATCCAGAAAAGCAAATAGGCCACAGTAAAAATACCCTAACTATTACTGAGTTTACTCTCATTGCAGACATCAATTTGGGCGTTGTATTAGGCTTTGAATTAAATTGGGTAAGAAATTCGTAGATATAATTCTAAATTCTTTAAAATACAAATCGCTATCTACATCAGACCATACTGGTTACTACGAATATTTTTCGATTTTTTTCTCCTTTAGCTCATATAAAATTGTTTAGTTTTCACTTAATTTTATCCGTACGTAGTTAATATATTTAACGTGGCTTCAAATTAGCTTTCAACTTTCATAACGAAGTTTGATCACGTTTGAATTTTAATTTTATAGAAAAAAAAAAACATAATGGACAACGGCTATTCACACAGAATTACTGATTTACGGAAACAACTGAGCACACTAACTGAACAATTAGATAGCTCGGAAAAAATGCCAGCATCGAAATGCAAACAGCTAACACTCAGCTTAAAAGAAGTTATTAGTTTGGCTAAGGAATTACAGGATGATATCAATGAAGATTCAAGGAAAGCGGAAGATATCAGTAAGGGCTTGGAATTCGATATGACAAGCTGTGAAAAACGATTAAAACATTTAAGAGCTGAATTAGATAAAGCTAACACCGGAATCGAGCAGAAGGAAGAACTTGTTCAGCAAAAGTTAGCTACATTGGAAGGTACCAGAACTAGAGCAGAGGAAATGCACCAAGGATTAGAGGGGATTGATGAAGAAGAAAATAAACTTCGCGATCAGTGTCGGAGTGAAAAGCAAAATTTAGATCGAGCTGAAATTGCCGTAGAAGGGCTTAATCGCAGTTTGCAAGCGTTACAATTTCGCATGGACCGAATTAAATCCAGACGAATGACGGCTGAAGAGAAATTGGGTCGTTATGGTGATGATACCGATGGAGCAAAGTTATCCAAACGGGCACCTAACGATAATGATTCCGAATCTCAGCAAGGAAATTTCGAAGAAGCTGAAACATCTATGAATGAACTAATTGATAAATTAGCAAAAATAATGAGACGTTGGGAAGAATTGGAACGAAGAAAGAAATTCTTGCAACTTCAAATTGATAGGGTACAAGAAATAACGGATAATATTAAAACTAAAGTTTCCGATATTGATGCCCAATTGTAAAACACTACCATGAAGTTCTTGCTATAGTCAGTTATTGTTTTACAAAACTTCTTACGATTAATTGATATTCGTCAAGCATAAATTATCTCGAGATTAATGAAATCTTTGAATCAAGACTGACAAAATACGCAATATCTTTGTAGCATGTTTAACGATAATTTCGTAGCGTAGTTATTGGTATTAGTTTTTTACTGCTTATTTCTAACTTCGCTATTTTTATTTGTACTTGAAAAATTTATTCGTGGGATTTTTGACTGATATTGAAATTTATAAGCTCGAGCTTTAATTCTTTAATTCATACGTTTTGATACTTTTGCAGCCACAGTAGAATCCGATATTTCTGTAATCTACTGTTATAACCGAGCATATTCAAAGCTCATGATTTGTTAATCAAATGTGATTAGATAGAAGTAGAATTTAGCTTTATAAATGCTTCATGAAATTAAACCAATTACCTCGCAAAGCTAAAAAAAGTCCTTTATTTTCAAGCAATATCGTAATGAATGCATTAGTACTGACCACTTACACTAATATTGATACGATCTGCAAAGCTAAGTGCAGCACTAGTCGCTGGATTATTAAATCTTATCGTTTAGGGGTCGAAACTTGCAATAAAATTTCTTTCAAAAATATAAAAGTCAATTTGATTATTGTAAATAATTTAGTGATAAAAGGTAATTGGATACCAGGCAAATAGTAGATTACCAGTGCATTTTGCGGTCTGCATCTTTTTTAAAGCACAGCAGTGTAATAGTGTTATCTTAAGGTTGTGTATTTCTTATAGCTTCCTTCGAAGCGGTATCGTAAGCCAAACTTCGACCTAAGATATCCCCGTCACTTTCTGATTACATTAATAATTTACTTTTATCTGCATTGAAGTATTAGTGAAGACGAACAAAAATTGCGGATGATTTGAGAGTAATGGTAGACAATTTAATTATTATTGAAAATGCATATACCAACTGTAGAGCCTTGACTTCATTGCTTCGTAAAGTATGAAGTGAGGAAGTAGTATTTTACAGATCTATTATGAGGTAAAGATCTTACTGTAAAATTATAGTTTATTCCTTTTTGCACTTACATTTTGAAATTATTCCAATTTTGTAATAAGTAATTTTTAAGCAAATTACAATTTGGGTCTTAAAATGAGATTGAATGAATAGCTGTCCAAGCCTATTTTAATGTCTGGTTATAAAGGCTACAGAGGTGAAGAAAAGCTTCAATCAAAGATACTTAGCTTTAGGCCGAAGTTGGAGATTACCTGGAAAATGTTTAAGCGATACCAACTTATTCATCTATTTTTATTATCATAAGTAGTTAAAGTAGGTAAATTAATCGATGTAAATATAACTTGCTGCAGGAGACGTTCTCTATTAGTGTTAAAGAAATTCGCGACACCGTTTTGCATAAGGCTTCTCTTATAAAAATAGTATTATTTGGATTACAAGAGGTATTGTTCAAGCCACAAATAATTTTCAGTAAGGAATTTACAACCAAAAACTGAACTTCAATATCAGTCAAACAGGTTTTAAAGATGAAAGTTAAATTATTGGAAACATGATTCTCTGTTGCATACAAGGACATTAAATAAAGGCAGTAAATATATAAGATTTAAACAATAGTTGGGCCATTGGCCTATTTCTGGTTTATCCATAACTTTAGAATGACTTTATCATATCTTTATATAGAATCTATAGGTAGCACAGATCGAAAGAAGAGTACCTAGTACTCTTTTTACGCTATTCATATCCTATTGAGGTGTATGCTTTAGTAAGTACCGCATGCGGTATCTTAATGTAGAAATTTCAAAATTGTGGTCACTCGTACATCTAGTACGAATAAGTGAATAAAAAATGCTGTCTCATCACTTAGCAGGCTTAGTTATTTGAGGTTTAAGTGCAATTAAACTTCAAATATGGAACGCTTGAATAATTATATTGTGGAATCAAACACAATGTCGTTAGATGAGCATAAACGAATTCATACTAAGCAAAATGATGATAAGCAAGAATGCATGTGCTAGAATATGCAAAATCTCAACATCACAAGCGGCCATGATTCAATTCATGTTGTATTTAAGAATATAGTACTCATATAGTGTCTATCAGATTATGCAAATTAGATCTTTAAAGTATTCACACCTAAAATAGTGTTACGTTTGTAATACTGAATATAACATTATAAGTCCTGTGTTTTAACGAGATCACACGGACCCAAGTTCAGAATGTACTAGATATTTGTTTTCGTTGCAAAGGGTAATACCAACTGTATGTTATCTGTTTGATGAGTATAAATGCGTTTGGATTGTAAAATAAAAGGGGATTTTTGTTGCAGGTCGTTTGCGAGCGTATTATTGTGGCGCAGTAGCTAGTTTATTGCTGAGATCTACGTCCATTTTTGGATTGTTACGTTGTAGAATAACAAATAGTAACTTAAGTCAGTTACCGTATACGCTGACCAAAAAGTGACTTGAAAATGAATACTATGATATTATGTTGTCATAATGTAAGATACAGTATGATCAAATTAGATATGATCAAACTAGACTGAACCGTGCTGGTCTAAATCAGATGAAATCCTTGACATACCCTATGCAATAAAGTATTTTACCCCTGGATTAGTAATTTAACTCAGTTACCGCATATATATGTCGTTTACTGTATAGATAATCGGTCATTTTGCAAACGATTATATCATTGTTATAGATCTTCTTTGTAACAAGAAACCGGGTCTTAAACACTATCTTCACTAGTACTTGTGTTCCCAATTAACTTAGGGACCTATCGTAGTTGAACTAACTCTCAGCTACACAAAAAGCTACTATTGAGTAATAGGTTTAACTACTTTACTTTATTTTCGTTAACCTTAGTCGTAAAATGTACTAAAGAAAAACGTAAGAATATTCTTAGCAATAATAGTCAAAAGATCCTGCAAATGACTAACTGGAACTGAGAAGCTAAGCTAGTGCTCCGCTTCTTATAGTCTCGCCGATGGTACACTTGTGAATATTCTTGAAATAGTGGCTTACACCGTACAGTATACATATCATAGTATAACAACTAGAGCCTCAAGGCCCTGCAAAGTAATTGATCTTACACTTATGGTCTGAACCGGATGCAGTGCTTGACATATACAATCTAAGCAGTTAATAACATTGAATTTATAGCATATAAGGTAATATAGTTCAAACTTTCTCATTAACATCGAATAAAAGACAAAAATTGGAGCTTGTGCTCAGAAGATTAGCCATAAAATAACTATACCCTGTGCACGACAGTCATACAATTGCACTGAGCTAATATTACAGTACTATTATATGTATTGCAAAGTAAAGATGCAACGGCTCCAATTGCTAGCTAAAAATGGCGATGAGCACCTTATAGTGGATCTATAAACACTATCTCATCCCTTAGTGATCGTCCTATAGTCATTACTTTGGCGATAGACCATAAATTGACAAGATACAATAAATTCCAAGTTGCGGTTGCTAAGCAAAATCACGTGGCAGCAACAGCTTTGATAATTTCAACTTGTCATCATTGATTAAGTAACAGAATTATATTTTAGTTATTGTTTTCAACTAGACACTGAATAATAATTATAAATAGAACAAAACATTACATTACTAGACTACCGGATCATCCTTTTAACATAAATTACTGTAACATGTCAAAATTGCCTCTTGGTAATCAGTAATTAACTGTTTTATATTGTATTGTATACGTTGAAACAAATTGCAAATAATTTCTACCCATTTTAGTACAACAGTTACACGTCGCGATCGAAGAGTGATAACTCCTACTTTGAAAACTTTATACATTACTTTAACAGTTAGAGCGATTAACACCTCTAGATTGTCATTCACTGACACCAATATCGATACTAAGTTTTAAGTTAGATAGCGATCATGGCTTTATGTAGGCTTCTACTATCAAAATTATAAAGGTAGCGGAAACAAATACAAGTCGTTTGTAACATGGCGAGTTCTAAGAATTTACCTGTAAGTTATATTGGATTAAAATGTTCTAATGCTATTACACGAGCAATAAATACCTGTCATAATTCTTTATCAATTCGTATATCGGAAATAATGATTCTTATTTTTAGCATGATATTCTCATCAAAAAGAAATAGTATTGACGCCCTAAAACAAGCACCCTTAATTGTTGACAGTATTAAGGTAGAACAACGAATGTGCAAGTCTACAATCTACGCCACTATAATCGAAAACAATATAGTCATAACCACAGCAATATACTTTACACTAAGACCAAACAACGAGGACGCTGTATGTGTATTTAATTCTGTATGCCACGATAGTTGGCCAAATCGAATTGAATATGAGCTAAAATATTTTAAAAGTAACTCAATCTAAACCTATAAGAGTGATTTTAAGTAAGACTAACCCAGAACATGAACGAGTTGATACAGTTTTCTATATCTTCTATTTGCTTTTGGATTTATAAGCTACTATATGTCTTATTGAGTATAGACAGTACGATAGATAAATTATCAAATATGCCATAAATGATTAACAAGCAAGACTATTATACCATAGAATTAAATGTAATCATCGATTCTTTTCAATTTTTGTCTTCAATTTATTTCTTTGATTTACCTTTGTCGAGGGGAAAAATAAGTAAAGTAAAGAGTAAAAGAAGTAAAGTTATTTTTATTCTTCATATCTTACAACTTATATAAATCGTCTCAATGACAGCAAATAAGAAGCTTGCGCTATCATTAAATAGTCATAGTGCATTGACTATGGCAAGCATTTCAGGCTTTTAATCTAAATCAAATTAGGTTCTACTAAGATTTAAATCGTCGTTTATATAATTTAATAAACTAAAATGATCGGTAAGTGGTCAGTTATGACTGTAATAGAAGTTTCCTAATAGTTTGGCTAGATATGGTAGTTATAAGCCATAGCATATATTTACAGCGGGCTAGTTTAGCCCTACGAAGAAACAGGATTATCATTTTAAGCAATTGATGCCTATTTACATCGATAGTGACTCATTTTAAGTAATTTAGGATGCAGTTTGACTTTTATCTTGAAGTTCACCATCTCTCATCACTTGAATGCATATCTATATATTTATCTATTAGCCTGGTAAAGTTGTAAGGCAGTCAGCGTTTGCCGGTGATAATGCTCAGACAAACATCAATCATATGAATAAAACCAGTGACCTCCATGATGAGATTAACATCATGGCAAGTAATTTTAAAAGACCTGATTTCGTTTCACATCTTCCACCATTGGATATACCACAGGTAAATTCTTTGGTAAATAATGAATCGCAATTAAACATTCATAAATGAAATGGACGGTAGCAAACGATAAAGTTATCAAAATGTAGCGAAATAATGACAGTAATATTATCTATAGCTCTATGGCTATCAAGTAAATTTTTATTTAACAATTGTACCTTAACCTATTTAGCCTGCATATAGTACTAAACCTAAAGTAGTTCAAGATAGCACTTGGACACATTCATCGCCAACTAAAGAAGAACGCCATTTTCGCCATGTTAGGTTCGTTAAAGATTCATTTGATGCATATATATTAATATGAAATGATTCGGAATAGAAGTGTTATCTTTAAATAATCTAACGTGGATTTTACTTACATAGTGACTCTATCGGAAATAACTACAGCCCTAGAGCTAAAGTTTTAACTTCATCGTATGTCTACGAAGCAACTCAACCACGTAAGCTAACTCTAAGTGCTTCATTTACTATTTATAATCAGTTCTTAATTCTGAATAATGGTAATAGCCATTCGTTTCATTTATTTCCGATCTTATTTTAAATATAGATATTGCAAATAAACGTAAGCGAACCAAGAGTTTGCCACCTATGAAGTACTCGCAAAGTATTTCGCTGTTGCAATTAAAACCTTCACATTATATAAGTTATGAAGAGGCGGATGCCACTTCTGTATCTAACCATGGCGCTAGTAATGGGTAATTTATAATATAAGTTAATAAGAAATTATCCTTCTTCCTTTACTTTCCTTCTTTAAAGCTGCATACAGCAGCTCATAGTAATTACAGTCTATGTCTTATTAAGTCTGGCTACCGTGCTAATCATCTATCTTTCAAACTTTACTTTCATGGCAACGAAAATCATAGAAATTCGAATTATCGAGGTAACAACCGTGATCAAGCATCGCCAAAAATGCAATATTTAGCAGGTACCAATATTGAAGAAACCTTGGCCAATGGTAATGATCGTAATAAGGCTAAACACCTATTAGAAGGAATTCAAGAAGAAGGATTATCGTACGTTGCTCAATGATCCATTTCTACAACTTCTATTCCATTCGCTACTGAACAGGTATCGTTTTATCTATTCAATCTAACTTCTCTCTTTTTTTGTTAACAATTAGTAAAGCCAAAGTTAGAAATGGTAGAAATGAAAGAATTAAGAATAAGAGAACTAGCTTCGCTGATCGAAATATCAAGGATAAACAAGAAATGTCCAATCTGATTATCAATGGAAGTTTCAATTATGATGAAAAGGCTGAAATAAATGGCAATTCCAAACAAGACTCAGAAGTGACTGTTTTGCTCAATACTAGTACTTCATACGATTTCAGCAATCATGTTATTAGTATCGAAAACAGCAAAAATGCATCTAAAAATTACTCGTTAGATAGTCATACCGATGCCGGTGATTCCGCTCATTTAGTACCCAAATCAATAAATACCAATCGTCTGGGTCGTTTTACGCCAGCCAGTAGCTTGTTTTCGAGTTCTGTAAGTTCTTTTAATCCGTCAACGCAATTACCAACGAGATTATGTTCAGCAATGTCAGACGAGGAAGTGACCGAAGCTGATCAACAGTTAGTTTACAATGGGATGTAAGTTAAAGTTAATCTACGATTCTGACATGTACAAATTGATACACTACTAGATTAACAAGAATTCTAAATCGTTTAATCACTGCTTTATTAAACCCTTTTCTAGAAATTATAGCAAAGAAGAGATAGCATGTCTAAATATTGAATTCTTACCGGCACGTTTTGTAACTGAGGGTTTAGCGCGTCCTGCAAGTCCAATAACTGAAATTCAGCTAGAACGTTATCATAATTTAATCTATAAAGCCATTCCTAATACTGTCGTACAACCTTTGAATCCAGAATGGATAGAAAATGCGTATCATCTTGTACCACAACAATTAAGAATTAGCTACAAAGAACACGTTAAGAAATTAACAGAGGTAGTTTAATTTCACGAAACTTTGAAAGATGCCATTTAAAAGTGTTTTAAGTTTTTATTGGTGACATGCTACCATGTTGATTTCTAATTTGTCCCATACAAATATTATTTTGTATTTTTATAGCAAATGGATGAATGCTACTACCTCAGTGTTAAGAAAGCTATATTAGATTATATTTTGCTAGATAAACAAGAACAAAAGCGCTTAGGGATTGCCACCAGACCCAAGGTTCGAAGTGTGATAATATCGCAGTACCTGTCATAGTGTAAATAAAGATATTTTTAACTTTTCACTGCAACAGAAGCGTAGCTTCATTACAGTTGTTTGCAATGGTACGAAAATTTTAATTTTAGGTTATGAAAATCTATTTTGCTGCTGCTTAATTTATTTTATTAGCTTCAACTGCATGTAAGACAGCATGGAAAAGCATTAAAGTTATAATTTTTTATTTTCTGTTGTCAAATTTGTCCTACTAATACGCCAACTCAGCTACCCCTACCAGCTGGACGAGAATATTTTCCATGGCACGAATCCATGTCTGAAGCAAAACAGAATCTAGAATCCAGTCTCTTCACTACTCATGCGGTTACTAGAGAATTAATTAATCTATGGATAACAAAGTGAGCAAAATGATAGAATCGTAAAATACTATTGGTCTTCAGTGATGTTTTAAGATCAATTAGTTAGGATTGATGGGTGATATTTCCGCTACTATAATCGTTACCACGGAATTTTATCCATGTTAATTTCATCAAAATTGTCTTCCATTTTGTATTCATTTTCATAGGAATAGTGCAACATGACAAATTAGTCTCATAGCTTAGATGATAAAATTATAATCATTTAATATTAGTTTTCTACAATAGTGGGTGGAAATTTTTGCAACCATTATAACGCACCATCTGATCAATATTGATACAGGTACAACAATTTCCGTCTATTCGATATGGATGACTTACGACGCAGCTTCTTCATGACGGTAGAAAAGTTTCATGAATATTTAAGCAAATCCAGTGAGAAAGCAGTGGCTGAATTAAAATCAACGTGGTTACCCCAATGTGGTACAATTGCAGCTTCCTTTAAGGAAGATATTGAGAAGAGAATGCCGAATGATGAGGTGATTAAGAAACTATATCAATCATCATAAATGTTGAAATTAATCGTACAACATCATTTATTTGAGCAAGTTGTACTAAGTTCATCGTCTTCAATCATTAGGAAGGAAGATTAAATAAAATGGATTCTTTTTTTGACTGCGTGGCTGGATTAATGTCTATACAAATTCGTAGTGCCGTCTTGCATTCGATCTACGATTTAGTGGAATTAACAGAAGAATATAGTAATGGCAATAACTACGATGGAGAGTATTTTCATAGTAATCAAACTAAAACCATCCATCCTATTGTCATTTTTACTGTAAGTAAAGTTGAATTTTGTTTATTCAATGATCTTACAAACATATAATAGCAAAAATTACATTGCACTTGGAAATTATTTCCTGATAGTTGCTTATTTATTCTATTTAACGCATAGGATGGCAGTATCGAAGGGCAAGACATTATCTTTAAGCCAACCATAACTGAGATTATCGAGAAAATTAATATTATCATCAATATGATGTTAGATAGTATTAAAGGGATACCAAGAGTTGAATATCAGTTATTTTACCTAGAAGACGATAATCAAGACATTCGTTGTATCGAAGTTCTACGAAGTGAAGAAGAATTAGTCCTAATGGCCAAGCAAAGGATAGAAGAAGTTATTCGAAATAATTTGCACGGTCCAGTAAGGTCTGTTTGGAAATCTATCCTCTATATAGTTAATAATTTAACTTAGCTACCATAAGAATGATTACTTATATTCATCCTCATATCTTGCTTGTCATATTTTTCTTAGATATCGATCTGTCTATCAACCATATAATTACTTATTGACTAAAAAAGCCATTGAAGATTGTGAAATATTTGTACAAGAAGACCATTCACTCGAAGAATACGTTGCTAAAATTGAAAAATTTCAAGACATGATCACAGAAATTGGCTCATTACCAGTTTTAGTACCGATGCATTTGTTCACTTTAAATTGCGATGGAGCGAATAGAGTTAGTTTTTAGTTGACTTTAGGCTTAAATTAATGTGATAAAATAATATTTAGGGCACCAGAAATAATTCTTATAACTTCTGTTTTTATCATACCTAGTTTTTGATCAATCAAGCGCGTATGTTAATTAATACACTGGTGCAAAATATTGTGGATAAAAGTCGGAAATTTAATCGAAAGATATGCAATGACTACAACGATATCGTGGCTAGAATGACTATGATACCAAATAATACTGAAGAATTGGTCAAATTGTCCAATTATACAGATGGTTTACGTGGAGGGGCTTTACTGAAGCTTTTGGTAAGATTTTTAAATTACATATAGATGCTTACAATTTTATTCCTTTGCGGCTCAATCTAAATTTTTTTTCAATAATTCCTTTATTATAATAGGATAAAATTAACATTGCTGCGGATAATGTTCTCTTCTTGATGGATTTTGCTATTTTGCCCGATGAAGATATCCAATTGAATAACATTACCTTTACTTGGCCTGCCCGCATATTGCCGATGATTAGTGCCAAGTAAGTCTAGTTAGCGAGGATATAATCATGAAATAGAGAAAGTTTATTTGTATAGATTTTTAATATCCTTGTAAATCCTTTCTGGCTGATGTTACACAAGTTTTAGCTTCTTACCAAATTTACTGTGACTGAAATTATTCTACGCTCAAAAATTCTTGATGCGAGCGTTGTTATAGTCTGCAGAAGTTTTATAGTATTCATGAGATTTTAAAATTAAATATTTCCTGAGTTATAAGACAAGTCTAGTAATTAGTAGTAGCTTACTTATTTGCCAAGTCATAGCATGATCTATTTATGTTAGCCATAGCCTTCGAAATATAGATACTACAACGTAAGTATGCTATATATTTAGTAGTAGTCTCTAATTCTCGTCAGAGGATGAAATAAATCGATTGGCGAGAATTTATGCAGAATTCTAAATCTTATGGATTTATATACGTATTCTGTCACAGATTTAGTTTACATTGATTAGCTTTAAGCCAACTCAGAATAATAGTATACATAAAAAGTATTCATTTCGCAGATATGGCAATAATAAATCTTTATTTCAATTCGAAAAAATATAGCGAATTACAGATCAACGCTCGTCATGATCAAGCCGTTGCTCATTTAAATCAGTGGCTAAAAAGATTCGATTATAATACTAAGGAATTGATGAAAGATGTCCAATCATTCGAACCGAAGGAAAGATTGGCAGAGTCTGAGACTTATCATTACGAATTAAATGAAATCCAAGAGAAACTTGAAGAATTATTCGAAGAGGTAGGTACTAGTGAACGCCTTAAAATAAATTGTAATTACCTTTCGTATTTTATAGCAACATATCAAAAATATCTCACAGTAAATAGTCATCTAATATGTAAAACAAAATCTTTTTTAACTTTATTTGATCATAGAAACAACAAATTAATAGAGAAGAAGAATTATTAGGATGTGAAGTAAAATCTACATTTCCTATTCTACAAGAAATTGTCAGTAAGAAAGATCCATTTGACAAGTTATGGAAAACTGTTGTGACTTATAATAATAATGCTAAAAACTGGATGAATGGATCCATGCTGAAACTAAATGCCGAACAGTTGGAAGAACAGGTTTGCGCTTATCTAGATTTTTAGGATACTGCTTAAGAATTATATAGCTTTTATAAAGTATAAATACTCTATATATTATATTAGCAGTGATGTAGGATTGATAAATTTACCTCACGTGTTATTGTAGATAAATTTTAATGTATTTCGAATCTTTTATTATGTTAATGCTATCACAAGGTAATGGATTTATGGAGGACCAGTTATCGATTAACGAAAGAATTCCTACGTCAAGATCTGCCTGGACCTTTGCGAGCAACAACTAGTATTAAGGGTAAACTGGATAAATTTAAAATCTATATGCCGCTAATTCGCGCTCTTTGCAATCCCGGATTAAAAGATCGGCATTGGCAAGCAATGAGTGAAGTTGTAAGTCTATAAGCATAATCTTTATTAGAATTAATGATACGTTAACTGAGCACAATGTAATACCACGTTGCCGAAAAGAAGCATAATGTTATAAGCAATCTTATTATACAAAGAATAATATCAACTTTATTATAATGGATATATTTAACCTAACCCAATATTATAAAATTTTACTGAAAAGAAATATTATAAGTAATTTTATTGATCAAAGAATAATATCAACTTTATTATACTATATAATAAGTTAACGTGATATAATACCACTTTACCGAAAAGGAATCTGAATAATATTAAAAATTTTATCGATCAGGGAAAAATATAATTCTGCTTATATTGAAAACTTCGTTATATGTCTAGGTTGGACAAGATATAACGCCGAATGACAAGACTTCCTTAAGTGATATGTTTAGTTTGGGATTGGACAAATATGTTGATCGCTTAACAGAGATTAGTGTAATTGCCAGTAGAGAATATGCACTAGAAAAGGTAAGACTAGCTAGATAGACTTTATTGATCGAAAAGAAATTAATGCACAACATATCAGGAGAGAAAATTAGTACTTAGCCTCAATATCCTTTTATACGTATGCCTAATAAATTGACAAAGCAACTACTTCGCAATAAATAGTTACTTTTGTCGGACTCTCACTCTCTTATTATATTGATTGGATAGCATTTAATTCAAAAGCTAAATGACACAGTTATTGAACGTTTTATTCTTGTACTGGAATCATAGGCTCTGGATAAGATGTCTCAAGATTGGGAAACTATTCATTTTACCTTTGTGCCATATCGAGATACTGAATTAAATATTTTATCATCCTTTGATGATATTCAGGTTAGAAGGCAAAATGGAGCCTTAACTCTCCTTTTTTTGTAATATATCATCATTTATTTACCCTTATAGCATATTTAATGATGAACTGAATTTGCTAATGGTTCGCTTTAAATAGATTCTCCTGGATGATCAAATTGTTAAGACTGTCACTATGAAAATGTCACCAGTAATCGGACCATTTGCAGGACAAGTTGAAGCATGGGAGAAGAAATTGGTAAGATAGATGATGATTAATCATAATTGGCAAGGGAAATATTTATATTCGTTTTATGTAAAAATTGTTTATATCATCCATAACAGAGGAGGACACAGAACATTTTAGATGCCTGGCTTAGGGTAAGAAAAAATACTGTCCTAGATTTATTACAGCAGATAAATCGAGAAATCAAAATTTCTAAGCACATCCTCGTCATATAGGTTCAATCATCTTGGATGTATCTTGAACCTATCTTTAGTTCTAAAGATATCTGCCAGCAAATGCCAAAGGAAGGAATGAAGTTTAAGGCAGTAGACAGACAATGGTGCGTTTCTGTACATAATTTGAAATACTTCATTTAAGAGCAATCACTTCTAGTAAAAGTAGATTTCAGGAATGGAAAGCTTGATTAATTAAAGGAGCTTAATTTTTATTGTAGGAAATCCATGATGGAAACAAGCATAGTTGATACTAAAGCGATGATTGTTGTTTCACAACCCAATATGTTAGAAGATTTGCAGGCTTCAGAGGTAATTTAACTCCGACTTGAATTGTGGATGATTATAATATTTAACTTGGAGTTTAGCATTTGATTGATAGCTCAGACCAATAAAGTAATCTTCATACACTTTATTTCTATAAATAGTCAATGCATGCTTTTAATATTAACATAACGCCTGAAATGTTTGTCACCTTCGAACGCCGGCATAAAATATTAAATTACTTCACATCAGAATAATATCACAATTTGCCAACGTTGTTGATTTTTTTGAGTTCAATTTTCGCGCTTGCGATATCGATATCTAGTTGACGACTAAAAGTTTTATAGGATAAACGTACATATTTGGGCGAAGTAATTCAGTCTGAGAACTTGACGTTGAATAGAAAATACTTCGGTATAGTATATATTAATAACCGCGAGACTCTAAACCTAGATATTCATCGAAAGTAATTAATTAGATACTTTATGCATTGCACGTTTATCTGCAAATTAAAAGGCGACAATTACTTGAGTAAAGCAAGATAATACTCCTCAGCTAAGGTGCAAGAATAATATGATAGGTGGCAATATTCTATATCAAATTATTTAGAATTATTTAGAAGTAAATACAATCTCCTTAGAGTTGTAAAAGAGAATTGTCTGAAATAGTAAATATCTATGCTTAGTTAGCGTTGTGCTAATTAATAACTACCAGAAAAATTGGACTTTGAGGTGTGGGTATTTGTATAGTAATGAAATTGATTCTACTTTTAATCGTCAAGAACTTTCAAACTGAAAGTATTATTTATTGCACTATAATTATTACGATGCATTTCAAGCTATAGTTAAATCTTGATAATGATATATGAATTATTTCAACGACAAGGCTTTACTGGAAGAAATTCAGGTGGGATTGAATCGATACTTGGAAGAGAAAAGACTATTTTTCCCACGGTATATGAATATTTTCACAGTCGTTGCTTGTCATTCTATGAATTTGTTGCATTAGCAGTCTATTCTAAAGACAATATATAAATTTTACTATCCTTGATCAAATAGATTCTTCTTCCTATCCAACGATGAATTGCTGGAAATTCTATCGGAGACGAAAGACCCATTAAGAGTACAACCACACTTGAAAAAGATCTTTGAAGGAATAGCTAAATTGAATTTTACAGAAGACACAACTATTGTCGCGATGATTTCAGCTCAAGATGAAATTATTGAGTTAGTTCACCAAATATTTCCTAATGATGCAAAAGGCATGGTTGAAAAGTGGCTTCAACAAGTTAGTAGATATTGTTTAACGCATTTTCCTTTCGTATTTCACGCCAATTACCCTTAAATTCCGAAAAGAGAAGCTGACTTGTTGTACTAAGGGGCTTATGCTCTCTTATTGTAGGTGGAATTTGCTATGAAGAAAAGTATTAGACAAGAGATAGAAGATTCTTTAGCAGATTATTTAGATTCTTCTCGTAAAGAATGGATCCTATTATGGCCTGGCCAAGTTGTGCTAGCTTGTAGCCAAATATTTTGGACCGCTGAAGTCTCGCAGGTAGATAGACCTTTCTATTTCGGCTTATTCAGGAATGATTTATTTGTAAATCAGTCAAATTCAGATGAGGATATTAAAATTTTCGACTAATACCAAGGTGACGAAAAGTTTCTATAATTAAATTAATTCTTTTAGGCGATTGAAGATAACACAATCGAACACTATTTGCGAAAATGTACCAACCAAATTAATGACAGCGTGGAATTAGTTCGCGGAGAACTGACAGCTATGTCACGTACAACTTTAGGAGCCTTAATTGTTGTTGATGTTCACGGTGAGCAAAATAATAAAATGGTCTTTTTTTCGTAATATAAATTTCGTTATATCGATAGTATAGTTTCCATAGAATGCGCTACATTGGATTTACCTGCGGAAGAGAATAATTTTAGGTCTTTAATCGTTAGTTTACTTGCATGGCACATGCCTGACTAGAATTTACTTGATAGTAGTAAATTGTTATTTAGAATTAGTCTAATGTTGTAATTGCATTACAGCCCGGGATGTGGTAGCCAAATTGAAAGACATGAAAGTATCGTCAATACGTGACTTCCACTGGATTAGCCAAATGAGATATTATTGGGAGGAGGAGAATGTGGTTATAAGAATGATTAACACGACTATTCCTTATGGATATGAATATTTAGGAAATACCGGACGATTGGTCATAACTCCCTTAACTGATCGATGCTACAGGTGATCATAATGAAGCTATTATCCTAAATTGGCTTATTTTCCATGCATAGAATTATTTTGTCATAGATATATTACCTAAGAAAATTGAATGCTAATAATACTAGTTCATATAAGAATTATAATATCTAATAGGGCCTTTTGCGTTTAATACCGTTTAACTTACAACATGTTTTAAGATTTTATGCAATCAGAGTAAATTTTTCTAAATTTATTTTGTAATTTAATACAATAACAAGTCAACGATCTTCTTGATTAACAGTGCTGAAAT